ACTAACCCATACTTCTTACCACTGACTGAAGCAGTTTTTACTGGTCCAAATAAGTCAATGTGCAGAAGTTCTAATGGCTTAGAGGTGGAAACAACATTTTTGGATTTGAAAGCAGGTTTTGCAAACTTGCCTTTCTGACATGCTTCACACAGAGCATCTGAATTGAACTTCAGGTTAGGAAGTCCTCTGACCAGATTGAGTTTGTTAATCTGAGATATTCTTCTCATACTAACATGTCCCAATCTTCTGTGCCAGATCCATTGCTCGTTGTTAACAGACAAAAGACATTTTACATTCTGACTTTTCAGTTCAGAAAGTTTGATTTTATAAATGTTGTTTTTCCTCTTTCCATTAAATAGGATAGTCCCATCTTTCTGACTAACAGCTTTGCATGAATTTTGATTGAAGATTATATCATAACCGTTATCACTTAATTGACTTATGGATAATAGGTTATGCATTAATCCATCAACTAATAAAACATTACTTATAGAGAGAAGATTTCCAATACTTACTGTTCCAGAGCCAATAATCTTTCCTCTCTGATTGCCTCCAAAGCCTACGTGGCCTCCAGACTTAAGTTCCGGGCTTTGGAACATATGCCTTCTTCCCGTCATGTGTCGTGAGCAGCCAGAGTCCAGGTACCATGATTGGTGTCTTTGCTTTGCTGCTAAAGATATCTGCCACATGTATTATTTTATCCTTAGGTACCCACATTTTCTTGGGTCCTGATTTGTTAGTTTTACCAAAACTCTGGTTGAATTTTGGTTTGACAGAGTAATCACTACTTGTATATTTTATGTCATGTGTGTTCCCATATATAAAGTGTGAATCAAGTGGAGTACGTTTTATAACTAAATCCATGGCATTTTTTTGTGTAGGTACCTTACCTTGATATCCTATCCCTTTTCTGCCATTTCTTCTAACTCCATAGATCATTGAAGCCATCTTGTTTCTGTCTATGTTTTTAGCAAGAAACTTCTGAAAACCGTGATCATACTCTTTGATGATCTCATCAGCATTGTTGGGAGTTTCAGGGATTGTTTCCTTCTGAGAGTTTTGCAACTGGTTTTCTAATTTTGAAATATTTTATTTTAACTCAGAATTCTCCAATCTGAGACTCTCAGTCTTATCAGAGTCAGAAGCAAGATTCCTTTTCAGGTTTCTGAATTTGACTCTAATCTGCTGATACCTTTCCAGAATTTCATTAAGGCTTTCAACTAATTCAGCCTTAGTAAAGTTTATAGTAAAGTCAGGGAATACCTCTTTTGTATCTGATTCAGAGTCTGAATCAGAAGCTTCACTGTCTTCAAATACATTTGCCATGAGAGCTATGTTTTCTCTTTCATCATCTGATTCTGAGTCAGCTTCAGATGTGTCAGAATCATCCCATGTAGCCATGAGACTTTTCTTCTTTTCCTTGCCAAACTTCTTTTTGGGCTTCTCCTTCTGAAGCTTTGGGAAATCACTTTTGTAGTGCCCTTGCTCGTTACATTCATAGAAGATGATGTCTTTGTTGTTTGGCTTTCTGTATCCTGAAGAACCTTCAAATCTTCTGTGTCTAGAGGAGGATTCTGACCTTCTGTATCTGGAGGAAGATTCATTCTGATTTTCTGATCTTCTGGGATTCCTGAACTTCCTTTGCCTCTGTTTCCACAGTTGGTTCACCCTTATGGAGAGGAGAGACAGTTCATCTTCTTCTGATGAGGATCCATCAGAGGTTTCTTCCACAGCCTGCAAAACTTTGGAGTCAGATTTTTTGTTAGATTTTAAAGCTAATGACTTACCTTGCTTTTGCGGTTCATCTGCTTCTAACTCTATCTCGTGACTTCTGAGGGAGCTAACAAGTTCCTCCAGAGAGATTTTGTTGAGATCTTTGGCTAGCTTAAGCGCTGTGACCATTGGCCTCCACTGTTTTGGCAAGCTTCTGATGATCTTCTTAACGTGATCAGCAGTGGAATACCCTTTGTCAAGAACTTTTAGACGAGCAACAAGAATTTGGAACCTTGAAAACATAGTTTCTATTGATTCACTATCTTCCATCTTGAATGCCTCATACTTCTGAATAAGCACAAGGGCTTTGGTTTCTTTTACTTGAATGTTGCCTTCATGCGTCATTCTCAGAGAATCAAACATATTCTTGGCAGTTTCTCTGTTTGATATCTTCTCATATTCTGAATATGAGATGGCGCTGAGAAGAATTGTCCTGGCCTTGTGATGATTTCTGAACTCACGCTTTTGCTGATCAGACATCATTTTCCTGTCAATCTTCTGACCACGTCCATCCACTGGGTGCGTGTATTCATCAGTCACCATGTCCCACATATCAGCATCATGGGCCAGAAAGAAACTCTCAATTCTGTCTTTCCAGTAGTCAAAGTTCTCTCCATCAAAGACTGGAGGTTTGCCACTGAATCTGTCCCTTTCTTCATTGTTGTCATTGTTGATGTTTTGACTTGGTCCTGCCATTGTGTTTTTCTGACGCTGGATCTTGTACTGACATGGTTAAGTGTTATAAGCTCAGAACTAGGCGCTCTGATGCCAATTGGAGATGTGAAAAACACAAGAAGGGGGGGTTGAATTGAAAAACTTAAATCAAAACAGCTTAATAACGCAGTATTTTTATCCTGGTTCTTTTGATCTCAAACTACTCCAGTCCACCCGTCAATGTGATTTTGCCTCTCTCCAACGAGGTCTTAATCCACTAATCTCAAAGGATTACAACAGCTACTTTAACAACTGTTAAAGTCTTATTGAGTATAACCACATACCGGTTTATCTCAAGGAAATCTTTTACAAATAATTGAACAAGAGTGTGTTAACGTTTTCTAACAAAACAATATATCACAACTGTGATAATTACACAAATTAAGCTTGGAATAAAATGAATTTGCTAAAGCTTTGAATATGCATGGTTTTGAAGGCTTGGCAAATTGTTGTGTGCGTACGTACGTGCTTCTTTTCACAAGAAGACTTGTTTATATAGGCAAGGCAAAGATACGTTGTCCATAAAGCAAGTTTAATGATAATAACACACTTTCCTTTTGAAGAAGATCTTGTCTGAAGAAAGCCGTTAGCATTTAATTATGTCTTGAATAATTAATAACGCTTCAGAGTCTTCTTTGCTTTAACTGCTGATAATGCTTCAGAGTGTTGATGCCTTGGTAAGGATGACTTTGATCAGAGTCAGAGTGTACTTGTTTAGGCGCAGATTATGGTCATCAAGCTTCAGCGTATAATCTGGTAGCTTCAACGTGTAGCACATATTGCTGATCTTCTGATGCTGATTTCATTCTGATGTTGATTCCATCAGAACTTCTGCATATACAAAACATAATTTTAAGTAGCATAATTGTTCTTTGTATATGTCTTTGAATTTAATTATTCTTTGTATTTTGTTATCATCAAAACTCTAATCAAGGTTTATAGAATCAAACTATGTTCTAACAAGTTGACCAGAGAGGAGATCACATGCTGGACTCCACTACACACGTAACCCTGACAGCCTTCGTTATTGAGCCTAATTGCTTTGTCCAATACGTGGATCTTGGCTCATCATTGGGACTATAAATACCCTCTCAAATGAGAGAGTCGGATATTCACTCTTTCTACACTTTCATTACTTGCATTTACTCTAAACCTTACTTTCGCATCAGAATATCTTGTAGGTACCCCCTCCTCCATTTTACTTCAACATCATCTAGTTCCAGCTTGTGAGTCATCGACGATCCCTTCTTGTTAGGCACGATCACTTATCAATTTTGACTTGTTTGTAGTGCGCATGTTGGATTTGGAGTCAGAAAACGTTATGCGAACAAGAATAAGGATGAGACTATATCCTCATGTAGGTTTGTTTGTTCTGGAATACGTAAAGTAAAGAAAAATGCAGTTGTTAATATTCCCAGAGCCGAGACTAGAACTGATTGCAAAGTCAGAATTTCATTTGGATGTAATAATGGAAAGTTGGTCATCCATGAATTTGTAGAGGAACATAATCATTCTCTACAATCTCTTGAGACAACACACACCCGAGACTAGAACTGATTGCAAAGTCAGAATTTCATTTGGTTGTAATAATGGAAAGTTGGTCATCCATGAATTTGTAGAGGAACATAACCATTCTCTACAATCTCTTGAGACAACGCACACGCTTGCATCTCATAGAAAAATAACCAAAGTACGAGCATATGAGATTGATTTGGCCGATAACTTTGGATTAAGGCAGAAGTCAACATTTCAACTTGTGAGCACATATGCAAGGCATAGATCTAATGTTGGATTTACACGTGTGGATGTTAAAAATTATATCAATGCAAGAAGACAAAGAAGTATGGAGTACAACTAAGTCACTAAATTCAATAATTTGCAGAGTTGTTTTTGTATGTTGCTGTCAAAGAATGCATAGATCCATCATATCATGTTAAATATCATTGTTATCAAACAATAAGAGAATTTTTGCTGTCAAATATCCTTTTTTAGGTCAAATGCACCTTCATTAGAAAACGGGAATAGAGTCTGATACAACAGAAAGGGGAATAAAACCCAACCAATTTCTAGAACCTATTATCTTCCCAATTCCTACTAAAGAGTGAGCATCTACATTAAAAACTCTAATAGTAAACACAACAAAGGAAACTAAAAACGATTTAAGAAGCAACTGGCAATCTTTAACAATTGGATCAATGAGCGCACTCTTCTTGCTTCCATTAATGCAATCTATCACCACCAACGCATCAAAGTGTATCACAACCTTCGACAATCTGTTATCCACTGCAAATTGGATACCCCAACGCAGAGCTAACGCTTCCGCCACCTCAGGCCCCACAAAACTCTCCATTCTCTTCGTAGCTGACAACACAACCTCTTTTCTTGAGTCCCGGATCACACAGCCTAACACCATCGTCCCATTGGAAAAGCAGCTCGCATCAACAAACATCGTATGTAAATCGCGGGAATCCTGGATATCATAGCTCCTTGCCACCTGCATCCCCACTCTTTTCCTACCAAGTCTCAGCCACCTCACACTCCCATGCAGCATCCATTACATCTTGGGCTACACAATAGGGATCACTGTCCTTACCATCAAAGACTCTTTTGTTCCTCGCCCCCCATATTTTCCACAAACAAATACATAACAGTTGATCCACTCTCACCTCTTTCCCTCCCAAACATTCCTCCATCCATGAGACCACATCCACATTTTCGGGTACCCTTGTATTGGTGGGAAATGCGAACCACACCCTTTTGGCAAAAGGGCACAAAAAGAACAAATGTGACGAAGATTCAGGGGCCTCAGAGCAGAGAGGGCATAAAGTTTCAAAACAGCTACCTTTTTTCAACAGATTTGCCTCTGTTGGCAGAATATCCTTGCATAATCTCCATACAAAGTTTTTTATTCTGGGCAACATCCGAACTTTCCAAATTGTCTCTTTCAGCCGGTTCAACGGGCCAGCTCCTTCAGCCTCCTCCATCCCTTTAATCAAATGATAAGCAGATTTTACAGAATACTCCCCGTTCCTTTCTCGATACCAGATTAAAGAGTCCATGGGATTTCTGATTGATAGAGGGATACTTATCGCCTGAAGCGCCTCATTCCTGTTAAAGCATTGCATCACAAGGTCTCTATTCCACCTGCACAAATCATAGTCAATCAAATTGCTGACATTTGCATCACGATCCAAAACTCTATCAGACCCCAGAATTTGGAAACCGGGAATAGTGGGCACCCATCTGTCCCCCTAAATCTTAACTTGTCTCCCATCTCCAATCCACCATCTAGAACCTTTCATGACAATCTCTTTCGCACTAAACACACTTCCTCATGCAAAACTCAGAGCAAACCCAACTCTTGCTTCATGCATCTTGCAGTTGGGAGAATACCTACTTTTCCACACTCTTTTGAGTAAAGAATTTTCATCCTTCAACAATCTCCAGAAGTGTTTCCCCAACAGGCTTGAGTTAAATTCCTAAATCCCTCTAAACCTAATTCCTCCCAAACATTTAGCCTTAGACATCTTTTCCTAACTCATCTAATGAATTTTCCTTTCCCCGTTCTTTGCCCTCCACCAAAACCTTGCTAGAATTCTCTCAATTTCTTCGCAAACCCCCACTGGAATTTTGTAGCAAGACATGATGTAACTGGGTATCGCCTGCGCCAACACTTTAATTAGAACCTCCTTCCCCGCCCTTAATAGAAATCCTTCCTTTCACCTTCTTCCAAATCCGCTCCACCAGAAGAGAGAAAACGTCATTTTTAGATCTGCCAAGCACAACCGGCAAACCTAAATACCTCAAATGAGATACCACTGTCTTAACTCACATTCTATTATGGATCATTTGTTTGACTTCATCACGCATATTTCGAATGAAAGAGGCTTCTGACTTCTCGAGATTCACCACTTGGCTAGAAGCTTTCAGATAAGTTGTAAGGACCTCTAATAATTTCTCTACTTCCTTAACACTAGCTCTGGAAAACAGGATGCTATCGTCTACGAAAAAGAGGTGAGAGATTTTGGGAGCACGCCTTGCCACTTGAGTTCCATGAATACTCCCCCCACCCACTGCTTCCTTCTTCAACAACCCAGATAACACATCTGCACAAATAACAAACAGGTAAGCCGAAATGGGGTCTCCTTGCTGGAGCCCTCTTTCGGGATTAAAAGTCTTGCTAGGCTTTTCGTTCATCAAAATCTGGAACGAAACGGAAGAGATACATCTCTTGATCAAGAGCATCGAGTTTCTTGGAAATCCCACAGCTTCGAGGACACCCACTACAAAGCTTCATCCCACCCTATTGTAAGCTTTGGACATATCCAATTTAACCGCCACCACACCTTTTTTTCCTTCATTTTCTTCTTCATCCAATGGAAACACTCCATCGCAACTAGAATGTTATCCGTAATAAGTCTCCCTTGAACAAACATGCTTTGTTCCTCATCAATCACACTTGGTAACACCTTCTTCACCCTGTTTCCTATTGTTTTCGAAACTAGTTTTATAACTACATTACAAAGACTTATAGAGAGAAAGTCCTTCGGGGACACTGGGTTCTTACACTTAGGAATAAGAACAATGAAGGTATTTTTCATCTCAGCCGGATCCTTTTCCTCATTCAAAATCTCCAAAACCAGCCTTTTCACCTCCTCCCCCACAATGTGCCAATATTTTAAAAAAAAACAAGCCTAACAAACCATCAGGACTCGGTGCTTTTAACGGGTGCATTTGAAATAAAGCTTCTTCCACTTCCATCCCGGTGAAGACTGCTCCACACCACACCTTGTTCTCCTCACTAAGCTTATTCTTTACCACCTCGCAAGTTGCCTGAACATTCGATGGACCTGAAGAAGAAAATAAATCAGTGAAATAATTAATCAACACCCTCTCACAATTTCCTTTCCATCTCCACCATCTTCCTTCTGTATCACGAAGTTTTTCATCTGATTAGTCTTTCTTCGCTGCTCCATTTATCCGTGGAAAAATTTAGTATTATTGTCTCCTTCCCCAAGCCACAACGTCCTACTTCTTAGCCTCCACATAATTTCTTCCGTCCTCAGCAGATTACTCCTTTGTTCCTCCAGAGCTTTGTATTTACTAACACTCTCCTCGCTTGGGTCCCACATCTCGTCCTTATTCAGTTGTTCCTCAATGTGAATTATCTCCTTGCAGATAGAGCCACATCTGAACTCTTTAAAGTGCTCTCCAATTCCTGACACAACCTTTAATTTGTTATACCCAGCTAGTCCACTCATTCTCCAACTTCTCAAGACCAGGCCTTCACATCTGGACTCCCTCGACCACGCTTCTTTAAATCTAAATAAGTGTTTTCTTTTATCTTCTTGGCCTTCAGTCTGATTTTCCATCTCAAATCTAATTGTCGCATGGTGTGACCCAAACTGGGAAAGATGGTGCACACTTACCGGTTGAAAATATTGACCCCCGCATCATTGGTCAAAACCCTGTCTAGCCTGCATTAGATATTATTAATATCATGCCTTCTGTTGGTCCATGTAAATTTGTATCCTTGAAAACCCATATCCCTAAGACCACAATCAGCCAAAGCTTGCCTCCCCCATTGAAATTGACCCACTGATCTATCACCCCCCCCCCATCTTTTCCTACTCACACAGAACATCATTAAAATCTCCTATACAAAACCACTTCTCCCCATCTCCTTATTTGATACTCTTTATCAGTTGCCACGTCTTCCTCTTATTGTGCTCTTCGGGATATTCGTACACTCTTGACAAGTACCACAGCGTATCTTCTTCCTCATCAGCTATTGATATATTTATATGGTTTTGGAAAAAGGAAGAAATTTCAACCTTCATGGACTTCTTCCACAGAAACACAATTCCCCTGCCCTCTCCTTACCTTCACCCCTGCACTCCACAATGAAATTATGCTCCATAGTGCTCTTATGTTTAATAGGACCAAACTCAACCTCTTTCAAAAAGGTCTCCATTAGAAAGAGTAGAAAGGGATTTTTCAAACGAATGAGCCTTGATAAGGCTCGAACTGTCAGAGGATTCCCTAAACCCTGATAGTTCCAACTAATTATTTTCATTGTCTTAGGCGGTGTTGGATTTCAAACACCACCTCTGGTATCTTGTCATCTCCTGCTTCCAAACTGCTACCTTGTTTCCTTTTTTTCTCCCCGCTCCCGCAATCTTCTATACCCCTATCAACAATCATCACATCAATAAGTTGTATCTTCGAGCTCCCTAACCCTTTAATCTCCTTGCTTATCTTTCTCGATTGCCCCTTCTTTCTGGTCCATTTCTTCTTCTGGACCTCTATTGTACCCGGATTACTACTCCCATTTTGTTTATCTAGAGAAATATCCATAGCTCCAAGAGATTCTGCAACTTTTTCCACCTCAATGTTTCCTCCTCCACCGTCTTGAGAAACCACTACTCTCTGTTCCGATAAGATAACCTTCTTTTTCGTTTGTTGGACCTCCTGATCTCTTTCTCCTTCTTTCTCCTTCTCCTTCGTTTCGCATCTACTTTGCCCTTAACAGACATTGAATGGATTTTTACTGCAATTTCCTGAACTAGAATCCTTCTTCTTCTGATCTTCCATGACTTTTGGTAAAGGTGAGGCCCTTAACCATTGACCGTAGGATAATTCTTGTTCCTCTATGTCTTCAAAGCCCTCTTCATTAAGATCCTCCAGAGCCTTGTAGTCTTTGAGTTGGTGCCCTATTCTTCTGCAGACAAAGCAGAAAGTAGGTAACCTCTCATATTTGAAATGAACTCTCAGACTTTTCTCCTTGAATTTGACCACTGTCCCCCTCTTCAGCGGATTCCTGAGATCTATGGTAACTTTAATCCTTAAGAATCTATCTATAGGGTGTGCATCTTTCATATCCATCTCCTCAAACGATCCAAGAATATCCCTCATCTTCTTCGCCATAGCCTCCGGCCTTAGCATCAGCGGCAGTTCGTAGATTCTAACCCAGAAAGTTTCGAAATGCATTGTGAGATCAAATGGTTGCTCCTCTCCAGACACTCTCGCTAACACCAGCAACGATTTATCGAAGCTCCAGGCATCGCTCCTTAGGATGTATTCCATATCTCTCTTCGTTGAGAATTTGAAGAGAAATAAGTTCTTGCTCAAATCTTGTATTTCAACTGGATTCTTCAGTTTCCAGGCATTCACCATAGTACTCTTAAAAGCTCTAGTGTTGAAAGTGCTCTCCGTCCATAGCTTCCCTACAAGAGTTCTCTGAAAAGTTTCTTCTTCACTCGTTTCATCCGTCTCCACAATTATCCCTTCCTCCTCTTCTTTCGATAATTGGATTTGTTTCCACCTCTCCATTGAAGCCCCTCGTACTCCGATAAAACCAACCACCCTTCAAACTGGTAACCCCCTCCGTATGGATCCAAAACAGATCCAGAACAGAAACACCACCTTCCGCAACGAAGCTAGAAGGGAAAGAAAAATCAGAACGATTTAGAAAGTCCAGATTAACTAGAGAAGGAGAGAAGATACTCGCCGTCACAAACCCTAGAACAAGGAGTGAGCGGTTGGAAAGACACATTAAGTTTAGAGAGAAGTTGGAGAGTCTCTCTCTAGACACGTAGATATTAAAATATCCTTGTTGTCAAACAATGCATAGAGTTTTTGAATCTTGTGGTCAACAATATCAAATATCTTTATCTTCCTTATTAACCGAAGAATGCATCTTTAACATAGATTAGCATAATAAACAATAATTCAGTAGTGAGTAACTATGCAAAGAAGAGAAAAATAACATTAACATAAAAAATAATTCAATTCAAATTCATGATTTTGCAAACAAAGAATGTTACAATTCAATTCAATGATTTGGTCAAAGCAATTTTGCGTACAAAATGTTAAAATGTGTTAACATAGAAGTTTTGCAGGCAAAATTCATAAACTACATAACCTTGAAAACACGTTTTAAAGGAGGAGGATTATTAAAAGGGTGAGAGGAAGCAGCGACAACGGCGAGATTAACGGCAACAGTGAGATGAGCGGTAACGAAAATTGGAAGCAGTGGCGAGAACAAGAGGAAACAATGGCGGTCAAGGATATGTCAAAGGCACAGTAAACACGGTGGATTGAGACGAAGGCGATCCAAGATTGCACAGAGTTGCAAGGTTGTGCAGCGAGGTAAGACATAAATTCTGACTGAGAGAACGGATCGAAAATGGGTCTCTTTTTTTTGTAGTAGTACTCATATATGAGGTAAGTCATAAATTTTGGCGGAATAATTTTACACTTTCAGTAAATTATAGTCATTAAATATTTATTAAAATTTAATTTTTATTTTAATTATTTAAAAAGTAATATTTGTGAATAGTTGATGTATTGATTGCGTAGAAAATTTTATCCTCACAATGCATACTAATTATTCTTCTTATATATTTACAATGCATACTAATTATTCTTCTTATATATTTGGAGTTTTTAAAAAAATATATATTTAAGGAATAACAGTGATCATTCTACTATTAATGAAATTTATGAAAGTCATGTAACAACGACAGTTTGACTATAACTATTTTTGGATAAAAATGAAATAAAATAGAAAAGCTATTAAGTACAAAAATAATTGAGATAGTTAATAAATAACTAGTATACATTCGCGGTATTTAGCCTTTGGCTGAACAAAAAAGGTGAGTTCCACTAAGAATCAGCTGCTGCATATCTTTGTCCCACTCAGAATGTAACCTCCAAATGCACTCATTTTCATATGAGGGTGAGTTCTTGATTGAAGTACGTGCATAATGACAAATATACTATTAAATTGTTATCAAGATTTGCATAGAATTGGTCATTAAAATTGACAAGAATAACTAATACCTGGTATTCACGGAGCCACGGCTCTGTTATTTGCAATCCAATGGCCCGTTTCTCAAGCTGCAGATTGTGCATGCAAGTTGCTAGAGGCTGCATTTTATGCAGCAAACAAACAAGATTTCGTTGAGGTGATTCCTTTGGCAATAACAAGTCAGATATCGAAGACCTTACAGTTCTGCAATAAATAAATGATGTTGGTAACACCAGAGGCAAGAAACAAAACTTTGGTACATGCACGTTCAAACAAGTTGTATAAAGTACTACTAATTTTCTTTGGTTCTTAGATATCGCAACAAAATTAACTCAGCCATTGATTACATTAGAGGATGCTTCCGTATTGTATGGCCTTAGGTGAACCGTGAACATGCATATAGCTTTCATCAATACTGCTAGTACCTACTAAATTCAACACATGGCTATCCCAGAAGAAACTTTTATAAACATTTCTCTCCAAGATAAAACTTATTGCATTAATAATGTAAGAAGATTGTAAAGAGATATCCAAGCCAATGGTGTCCAAAACTATCTTTGAAGAATGAAAGCTTTTAAAAAGGATAATCCTTTCTCTTTCATTGCAGCAATGGTAACTTTCTACAACATGAAACATATTAGCTAACCTCTTGCAGATTTCTGTTAGACCTTCAGAGTTACTACGAACCATCTCTATTCTATCATGCAATTATTTTATTAGCTGTTATTGTTTTATCTTTCTGTCAGTTACATTTTATTGATTAGTTAATTAATGCGTGTAAGTTCTATAGGCTGCTATGCTCAATAAATAGGAGATAGCAAAGTATAGTGGGTTATCTCGGAATTAGTGAGTGATTATTGGGAGAGACCCAACTCTCGAACATTTGGGAAGAGAGAGATCCAAGACTAATCCTTGTCATTGTGTTTGTGTTATTTCTATTTTGTACTAAGAAATATCAGAAATTGTCCCAATTTTATTTTGTAAAAGAACCTGTTTCTATCAACTTGACAGGCGGGAATACTTTTGGTATTTGATCTTCTTCTCCTGCATCAAAATATGTATCAATCATTATCATCCATCCAACAACTTCCCTTTCTTCAAAAATTGGTATTTCTAATCGTAACTCTTTGAGTTCTCTTCTCCAATGTCTAATTTCTTTCAACACTTCATCAATAAGGTCAAACATTCCTTCCATTTTTGTAACTGCTCCTAAATAATAATAATTGTTACTCTAATAATACTAATGGTTACTCTTAGACTCACTAACTTCTACAAATGACATTTAATAAGGCTGCTCATATGATTGTAACTGACAGAATAGAACAGTCACATTCTGTTTTGATTCCTAGTAATTCCTAAGGTCTAACTTTCATGGCATTAATGCTTGTGATTTTAACCTGAAAAAATAATTGGTAAACTGCAATGAAACATATCAACTGACCTCTAGCAAATTGCATCGCTTAAATTAAATGTATTCACAATATCCATGGGATGTGGTGTCTGTCCAAGATATGAGTTGCATACAATACCAGAACCTGTAAAACATTCACTTTAGATTCTAAAACTTAATGAACTTATTAGCTGCTTAATAAAAACACAAACTGCCAATCACTCCGATCAAAGGATGGTTAAGAATAAAAAGTGAATATATCTATTTATAAATCAACAGCATAATGACGTTTTTTTCAAAACTCATTGTTGTGATGATTCAAGTATTTTGCACCATATGAAAAAAAAATAGCAATATCTAAATGGCCAACATAGTTTAGATTTATATCATACCTCCTAAACGTTCTGCCACGGCACCAGTAAGAAGGCCACCAACCATATCAACAACAAGAACGTCAGAATTAGAAGAAACATTAGCCATTGAAAGTAGAAGGGACAATGTATCTACCCTCAAGAACCTGAATCAGTTACAGTTAGTTAGAAACCAAATCAAGTGGAAATGATCCTCCAGCCACACACACACTTAACATTTTTCGGACTAAAGATGTCGCACACTGTTAGGGACCAAGTGAAGAAAGATGGGCCAGATATAGAAATGACAAATCATATTGGGCCTAGGAGTGCTAAGATCTGGCAGGTTTATTCTAGAAGGAAAAAAGGATCTCACACCACGTGATAGCTATGAGGTTGCAGAGAGAGTAGTGGCTTTAGCGAATATTGTTAGACGGTTACAATAAATGAGGAGGTAAGGGAATTGGGGACTTACGCTACAAGATTCATTTAGCAATCATTGGATGGGGGGCTGTTAAGCACTCCATAGGAGCCTAGCTCTGTGGTAGTTAGATCATTGAATCTTCTGTAAATCTTCTTACCATCATACAATAATAGCCATTAATTTCTATCAGCTTCTATCCTTTTGTCTTAAATTTATTTGTTACTGTCGGTACCTAACATTGGTCCGACCTACCGGATACGTAGAAGGAGCCAGTGAAGGAACGTTGGTGGATGCCGCCGAAGAAGAAAACAATAGCAAACATGGAGGCGAAGATTGCAGATCTGGAGCAAGAGTTATCGTTGATGAAGGTTGCTTTTTCTGACTCCATCGCTGAGGTTCAACAAACGGTGAGGGAGAACCAAAGAGCGTTGATGCAGATGATGGAGAAGGTCCTTGGCAAAAAGGTGGTTGAAGTTGATGATGGTGTCTCGTCGGCGGTCAAGAAGGCTACAACATCCTCAGAGTTGAAAGGTGAAGCTTTGGATGAATTTAGAAGATCGGTTAAGAAGGTGGAGTTACCGGCGTTCTCCGGTGATGATCCGGCCGGATGGATCTCTAGAGCCGAAGTCTATTTTCGTGTGCAGGACACGAGTGCTACAGTGAAGGTGGGGATGGCGCAGTTGAGCATGGACGGGCCAACCATCCATTTCTTTAACTCTCTGTTAGAGGAAAACCCAGATCTGACATGGGAGGAGTTCAAGGTGGAGCTTCTAGAGAGGTATGGAGGTTTGGGAGAAGGAGACGTTTATGAGCAACTTACGGAGATTCGTCAAAAGGGTACGGTGGAAGACTATATACAAGAGTTGAGCGTTTAACAGCTCAGATTCCAAGGCTGCTGACGAACAGTACCTGGGGTATTTTTTGCATGGGTTAAAAGATGAAATCAGAGGTAGGGTTCGGAGTTTTGTGGCTATGGGTCCACTTACAAGGAGCAAATTAATTCACCTTACCAGAGCAGTGGAAAGGGAGATAAGTGGTGGGTCGGGCTGAAATCGGAATCCGAAAATAGGTGGGTCAAACCGGGTTAACCCAGGAAGACATGGAGGTACAGATTGGATTTTTGTGAAAGGGGGTCAGAATAGTGGAAATCATAATGGGATTGGGCCTAGAGGTGTTAATGGCCCAATTCATGAATCCAAACATGGTACTGCAGATAGGAGGAAGGGAGGTGTGCGTGAGAAGGGGTTTACCCATTTGTCTTATCAAGAACTAATGGACCGGAAGAAAAAGGGCTTGTGTTACAAGTGTGGGGGCCCATATCATCCTCTCCATCAGTGCCCAGATAAGCAGCTTCGTATCATGATTGTGGAGGAGGAGGAAGGAGGAGATGATGAAGCGAAGTTGTTGGCGGTAGAGGTGGAGGAATCTGAAGAGGAGCACGGTGGAGAGATGAGTGTTATGAGTCTCTTTGAACTGAAAGAGTCCCAACACGACAAAGTTCATACACTCAAACTCAGAGCAACGATCAATGGCGTACCGGTGGTGGTGTTGGTTGACAGTGGGGCTACGCATAATTTCGTTGCGAAGTCCATGGTTCAGAAGTTAGGGTGGCAAGTAGAGACCACACCAGATTTTAGAATCAAATTGGGTGACGGGTTCCAAACCATTACTAGAGGAAAGTGTACTCAAGTTTTATTCAAAACTGGGGGAGTCACCTGTGAAATTGAGGCGTATCTATTTGATTTAGATGGGGTGGATGTAGTTGTGGGTATGGCATGGTTGAAATCTTTGGGAGATATGATAGTTAATTGGAATAAACAAACAATGGAGTTTTGGCATGAGGGAAAGTGGGTAATGTTGAGAGGGATAGAAGGAACATCTGAAGCAATACCGGCATTGCAAAGCATTGTAGGGAAGGCTAGCAAAGGCTACGGCAAGAAAGGATGGTCACTAAATGCAACGTTGAGCAACACGGAAGGGCGGGCAGAGGTAGTGTTAGAGCAATCCGTTATGCAGGAAGTATTGAAATCTTTCGATGACGTGTTCCAAGAACCTAAGGGTCTTCCTCCATGTCGCTCAAGGGACCATGCTATCAATTTAATGGCAGGACAAGGTGCAGTCAATGTCAGACCATATAGGTACCCACACCACCAGAAAAATGAAATAGAAAAACAGATTAAGGAGATGCTTGAGATGGGAATTATTCAACACAGTTGCAGCGCTTTTTCTAGTCCCGTTATACTGGTAAAGAAGAAGGACGGGACATGGCGAATGTGTGTTGATTATCGTGCCCTTAACAAGGCCACCGTACCAGACAAGTTTCCAATACCGGTGATAGACGAGTTACTCGATGAGTTACATGGGGCTCAATATTTCACCAAGCTTGATTTAAAGTCCGGGTACCATCAAGTGAGGGTGAAACCGGAGGATGTTCATAAGACGGCCTTCCGTACTCATGACGGACATTATGAATTCCTTGTGATGCCGTTTGGATTGATGAATGCTCCATCCACATTCCAATCCTTGATGAACGAGGTGTTCAGGCCCTTATTGAGGAAGTTTGTGTTAGTTTTTTTTGACGACATACTCATTTATAGTAAATCGTGGCAGACACATATTCTTGAAGTAACCAAAGTGTTGCAGATTTTGAGGAGACATAAACTGGTTGCTAATAAAAAAAGTGTCAGTTTGGCCAGAAAACAGTTGAGTATCTCGGTCATTTGATCACGGGAAGTGGTGTAGCAGTAGATCCCTCGAAGGTGCAGAGTGTAATTCAATGGCCTATACCTAAGAACGTTAAAGGAGTGAGAGGATTTCTAGGCCTTACGGGTTACTACCGCAAGTTTATTAAAGATTATGGGAAGATTGCCAAGCCATTGACAGAGTTGACAAAGAAGGAGGGGTTCAAATGGGGGCCTCAAGCTCAAAAGGCTTTTGAAATTTTAAAGCAGAAGCTGACAACAGCCCCCGTACTTGCTTTGCCAGATTTTGAAAAGGAGTTCACAATAGAATGTGATGCATCCGGAGTGGGTCTGGGGGCGATATTAATGCAAGAGAGAAAGCCCATTGCTTTTTTTAGCAAGGCTTTAGGAGGAAAGAATTTGGCTAAGTCTGCATATGAAAGAGAACTAATGGCAGTAGCTTTAACGGTACAACATTGGCGCCCTTATTTGTTGGGCAGACATTTCACTGTGACAACAGATCAAAAGAGTTTGAAGCAATTATGGCAACAAAAGATTACGACATCGGATCAGCAGAATTGGGCCACTAAATTGCTCGGTTATCAGTTTGATATTGTATATAAGTCGGGAGTGGAGAATAGAGGGGCAGATGCTCTATCCCGATTACCTGAAGGTGAATTAGCAGTTCTGGTCTCATATCCAATTTGGGAGGAAGGCAATGTGATACAGGAAGAAATCCACATGGATAAGGTTCTGCTGAAAATCATAGAGGAATTGGAAGAAAAACCAGATTCAAGACCAGGATTTAAGTATAAACAAGAGGTTTTATTTTATGAGGATCGTTTAGTGTTATTTGCACAATCTTCATTGATTCCCAAGATGTTGGCTGAATTTCATATTACTCCGGAAGGTGGGCATTCTGGATTTTATCGCACCTACAGACGTTTAGCTGCTAATGTATATTGGATAGGTATGAAAGCAAGAGTGCAAGCCTATGTGAAGGCTTGTGATGTGTGTCAACGACAAAAGTACTTAGCTATCGCACCTGGGGGTTTATTACAACCTCTGCCCATTCCCTCAGCAGTGTGGGAAGAGGTCTCAATGGATTTTATCACAGGTTTGCCGAAATCCCGTGGGTTTGAAGTTGTGTTGTGGTAGTAGATAGGTTGTCAAAATACTGTCATTTCATCCCTCTTAAGAGACCTTATACTGCTAGAACAGTAGCTGAAATTTTTGCCAAAGAAGTTATACGACTTCATGGTTTACCTACAGCCATTGTTAGTGACCGTGATCCTCTGTTCATCAGTAATTTTTGGACTGAACTTTTCAGGCTGCAAGGTACCACTTTGAAGATGAGTTCAGCCTATCACCCGGAAACGGATGGCCAAACGGAGGTTGTCAATCGATGTTTGGAGACTTATTTGAGATGTTTCATTGCGGACCAACCAAAATCCTGGCTGACTTGGATTCCATGGGCAGAGTTTTGGTTTAATACAAAATTTCATGCGTCCACGGGGAGTACACCTTTTGAGTTAGTCTACGGAAGGAAGCCTCCTGTTATTACAAGACTCTTGCAAGGTGAGACAAGGGTGGCTGCAGTTCAAAAAGAGTTGGAAGAACGGGATGAAGCACTCAAGCAGTTGAGAGCTCATCTCCAAAGAGCTCAAGACCGCATGAAGTATTTTGCAGATGAGAAAAGGACAGAGTCCAGTTTTAATATTGGAGAGTGGGTGTTTTTGAAGCTTCGTCCACACAGGCAGCAATCCGTGGTATCTAGGATTAATGCTAAATTGGCAGCTAGATATTATGGTCCGTTTCAGATTGTGGAGAGGATTGGAGTTGTTGCGTATAAGCTGAAATTACCCGAGGGATCACGGGTACACCCAGTTTTTCATGTCTCTCTATTAAAAAGGGCAGTTGGAGATTATGCAGTGGAAAGTGAATTGCCCCAAGAAGTTGAAGGGAGTTGTGTGGAGCAGTTTGTGCCTGAAGGAGTTTTAGACACACGTTTCAACGGGCTAGGAG